TCAGACTCAGTTAAGCTGGAACCTGATTTCAACTCACAAGACTCGGTGGAATCAGATTCTGGCTCACTACCTGACCCGATGTTACCTGATAAAAATCCCTCTTCATACTGTCAAATGAGAGAGGGTGCGATGGATGCATCCAAAATGTTTGCTGGTAGGCCCGCAGCCGTTTCATTCCCGATCATGGACACCGAGAAGTTATCCCCCAAGCACTTCTGTTCGATCAGAGGATCTGAAAGTAGACAAGCCAGTGCTACCCCCATTTCGATTTCAACGTCCTCAGACTCCAGTTTCTTGTTCTGCTCAGCCTCAGCTAATGGGTCCGTCTGCTCTTCGACAACGTCACCCCCAGATAACTGCAGGTCGAAGAATATCTCAAACCCCGGCACGCGCTTCCTCTCCGCGTTCAACCATGGCTCTGGGAAGCCACAAAATGCAAAGTCCTCCCCTTCCCGGACGAAACGTCCATTTAGGGTACCCTAGATGGGTCAGTGCATTAACTCAAAAAGCTTCCCTGCCTGCTTTGCTCTGGCTCTCCCAGTCATCTTCTTGCCTTTCCTTATCCAATCCTCTTTGGTGGGTAGATAACCCAAACCAAAGGTATGTGGGTTGTGTGGCACTTCGGCCAATGCTGCGATGCCCTGCCGGCCGCACTTTCCTAATCCCATCCCTGGGATGTGTTGAAGCTTGTTCATGAGGTATACTGATTGAGCACTGACATACACCCCCTCATTAACAGCCAAAATGTTTTGCACGACTCGGGCCTCAGCCAGAGTGAAACCGGATAAGAACACATCCTCCATACCGTGCTCAATTTCTGGGACTGGTGAAGACACCTCCGGCGGTGAGTGGATCGATGAATTTCCAAAAACAATGGCTACTCCCTTTCCATGGGGGTATTTCACCATCTGATGCAAGGTAGAAGAAACTGCCTTCACTTGATGCAACCACGGACGCCCCAAGAGTAGATTGAAAGTGGCGGGAACCTCTAGGACATGAAAGTCAATTTCATGCTGCCCCGGCCCAACCTTGGTCTAAATTTTCACTATCCCTATGACTTCTCTGCTTGTGTTGTCGTACGCCAGAATTACCTGGGCCGCACAAAGTCGGCGGTCTTTAAACCGATTGCATAGGCAGTCCTTGCTGGACACACATTGATGGCGGACCATGTGTCAATAAGAACCACCGGTATCCATTTATTTCTACACTCCACAGAGATGTAGAGTGGCTTGTTGTGATTCGCACCCTCAGGTGGTAATTCCTTGTCGGAGAAAGTTAACATCGGGGTAGCTCCTCTCGGAAAAACTAAGCCCATCAGCTGTTCGGGCGTGGTGTCTATTGAGAGCTTGGCCTTGTCCATGGCCGATAAGACAGCTTGTCGATGCACTCGCGATGCCATAAGCAGTCCCCAAATAGAGATGTCTGCCTGTATCTTTTTAAGCTGTTTGAGTACAGCCTCATCTTCAAATAGCTTCTCCTTCTGTATTTCAGCTTCCTTATCCTTCTCAGATGCCTCTGGCTGATCTAGAGGTGGAGGCTTGAAATATCGTCCACTCCTAGTCATATGATCGACCTCGCCGATGTACCAGGTATCGTCCGGCTGGTTACTTCCCCAATCCTCATCCGTGTGGGCAAGACATAGATCGTCGTCTTCCCACCACATTCCATCGGCAGCCGACAGACACCTGTTCGGCTCCGGTATGATCACACTCGCAGTACTTTATGTTCACATGCTCGCAGCATTCTCCGTCCTTGTACACGCAGCACTTTCAGTTCCCACATGGGCTTTAGCTTTCCTGATTCTCTCAGAATCCTCAAACCTTTCCTGTTCCGATTGTGTCAGTACAGCTGTCTGTCCAATAATTCCCGTATTCAAAATGCTCCGATCCTGAGCGAAATTCTCGACACCGGCGCTCTTCGGCGATGTACTCTGCTCGTCGGTCGTTCCGGCCGTCACTGACATTCTCGTCCCTGCCAGGCCTCATTTTGGTTGGAATTCTTTCACAACATCCAGTTGATCATCCAACCACCCGGTAGCCTCTGCCGATTCCTCATAATCAAACCAGTTGACTGCTGCGTCCCCTGGATCTTGGTCATTGAAAAACTGGAGGTTGGCAAGGTCCTCTTCCATAGCCGTCAAATTATCTGTCCCCTGCTCAAATCCATCCCCTCGGATCATACACAGCTCTGCCCTCTCCGGCAATTCTACAATGGGCCGAACCTGGCCTACTGACAGAATATAATCACTCAGATTGTAGGCTTCCTCAGCAAAACTCCCAGATTCCTCAGATTCTGGCTCAACAATCCCATTCTCCTTTGAAATCATCCCTGTCCCATCTTTGAAGGTCATCACCATTGGCTCTGGTTAGGTTCTGGAGATGTCTAACATGCACAAGTCAGTGCAGTCAGGAAGGAACACCTCCGGCTCAGGTAGGTGGGAAGGAGTGATATATATGCTAGGATCGTAAGACACGACCCCAGTCTGGATAAAATTGATTCTTTTGGGAGGTAGAGCTTGGTTGTGTGGTGGGAGAGGGTTTGTTGAAACATTAGGTTTCTCGGGAGGCAAAATCACCCCGTTATCGATGAGATCTTGAACCTCATGACGTAATCGGAAGCACTGGTCGGTGTCATGACCGTGCTGTTGGTAAAATGCGCAATATTTGGCTGGGTTGTAGGTAGGGGGAAGTCTTTCCGGCAATGGCCGCGGCTCTAGGGGCTTCAAGTGCCCTTTTCTGATTAAAACCCCCAGAGCTTTGGACAGGGGCATATATAGTGAAGCGAAGGTTCTTTGGTTTTTGGGTGGGTATCTGGTTGTTTGTGTATTGCTTCCGAACGCACTGGAGAAAGGCATAGCTGCCATGGGTCTTGGAGGGGGAGGGGGAATGGTGGTGACCATGCTCACTTCTGAGGCTCTTGCAGTTGTAACGCCGCTCGGGCCTCCATTGGTGTTGCGATTGAAAGTTCTTCTGGGTTGCTCCTGATTATTATCAATTAGGCCTTGCTTCAAGGCATCCTCGATCTGTACTCCCATCTCATGCAGATCAGCAAAGGTAGGGAAGGGGAGCACGATCATTTTCTACATCAGCTTAGGCTGGAGATTGCGCACAATCATCCGAATTTGATCTTTATCGGTGGTCCTTAGGGTCATCATGGAGGCCTTGGCTCTCCATCTGGTTACGAACTCTGAAAAGCTCTCCTTAGGCTCCTCTCGTTGTCTCAAGATCACGGGTCGTAATCTCGATTTACGTGTTATACGAGTATTGCGCAATGAAGGCCTCAGCCATCTCGTCCCAATTTCTCTTGACATCATCTTCTAATTTGGCATACCAGATGGCCGCCACACCCGATAGGGTCCGGCCGAATAGAGACAGCTTCTGCAGTCTGGTGAGGCATATCGGCCTTAAGATGTCTGAAAACAAATGCAGGTGTACCATGGGATCCCCGGATCCATCAAACCGGTCAATGTGCAGCATCTTGAATCGGTCCGGCAGCGTCACAGCTGCATCAGTGTACCCATCTTCAATATCAAGGATGGTCTTGACTCCCTGGGATCTCTTGAACAACTTTTCAATCTTGCTCAGCTTCAATGTGGTGGGATCTGTCTCGAACTCAAAGGGAGAGTCCGGTAGGTTTGTGGGTGTTTTGGATAACTGGGGTAGGATCTGAGGTAGGATTGGGGGCGGAGGTGGCCCTGTGGGAATGTCCGTATCATTCTGAACATTAGCTGTCTCCCCGAGTATTGGAACTCCTGGCGGGGGAGGAGCTTGATGCGAAGCAGATGCTCCGGCTTGCTGTTGTAGCCTCACGATTAACTCTGCTCGTTCAGTCATAACCGTGGCCTGTTGCTTGGCAAACTCTGCCTGTCGAACAGCGTCTTGCTGCATAGTTTTCATGCTCTCTTGGAGCTGGCGCACCGTCTCCTCTAAGCTCACTATACTGCTCTAATCTGATTGAATTTCTGGTATATATTCTCTCTCTGCGGGAGAAACAGAACCCTGATCTCTACTGTATTCAGGTGGGGTAGATAAAGCCCTCTGTACTGATCGCTGAACTGATATTCTCTGCCTGATTGCCCTCCGTCTAGGAACCGAGGGTAATCAGTAGTACACTGGTTGTCCGTCTACCAGATCCTCAGATCGATAGAGTCGGCGACCTCTAATCCAGGGTGCTTGGGGAATATCTACTGGGTCAGAAGCAATCGTGCTAAACTACCTAGCAAAACGATAAATAAAGCATATAAGGAAATAAATAAACAGACAACCGGACAGCGTAACGGCTTAAATAAACACACGACATGCAGTTGGGCACAACAACACGTAGTCGATAAGCTGAAAAGACTGTTCTCAAATGCTGATTATTATCTTCCCCCCGAATCACTGTCCCCGAAAAAACTGAATCTGATACCCGCAGATAACTGATTCTCAAACACTGGTGCCCGCAGACCTGATTCTCAAACTTGCAAACTGATTCACGCATTCCCTATAGAGATACACTCTAGAAGCACATAGCAAGTAAATGAGAGCCAATACGCCCCTATGTTGGGGTAGGGTTTCTCTGTCCTATTTTGTCAAGAGCAAGGGTTTCACTACGCACGCAGCGGTTTCAAACAACCTATAATCGGGTAAGCAACCTGTCCTAGTTTGGAATGGTCACTATGGATTCCGAATATGCACTAGGTCGAATGGTCAAAAGGGTGCCTCGGTAAAAATCGAGATTTGTGTTCCCATACTGGCAGAGCCCGCAACCGGTCACCTTATGGTCATGCCTTGACAAGGCAAGCCTCCGGTAAACCGTTCAGGAATAGCAGATGGCCAACACGATGTCCTAGGCGCACCAATGCACATGCAATGCAAAGAAACACATAAGTGTAGTCAAAACAAAATATTATGAGTTCGAGTCAAGTTCTCTATTATCCCCAGTAGAGTCGCCAGAAACTGTAGACGTCCCCGAACGCCCCGGGAGGATGAGTCCCGTTTTGTTCGTTTTGGGCTCACTACAGTTCGGACTCTAATTGTCACGGTTCTTAATCTGAACCAAAGAGTCCAAATCTGGCAAATCGTTTTGAAAAATAGATTTTTGTAAAGAAGTGCCAAACATGGACTGCTTTGCTAGATACAGAGTCGCCACTTAAATATTTTATTTTGGAAGAATTTGGGAAACCCTGACTCGTTTGCCTAAGGCCACATGTCCGTCATCACCAGAGATGCCTCGGCTCGGGAACTTGGGTCCGTCATCACCAGCTATGAGCACTCCCTCTCACCCGATCTGAAGATCGGCCTCTACTAACCATGATATCTTGTTTTGAAAATATTATGCGTTCTTATTCCGGTTATTAGCCTAGATTTACTATGTGATGCGCACAGCATACAAGTATAGACTGAATCACCTGAGTTAGAACAAAACATTTCATGTTTGTTTTTTAAAGCAGTTTGCTACTCGTAAGTAGGCTAAAATGCAGGTTTTGCCACCCTCAAGTGGGCTTTAGAAAAGATGGTTTTTGCCACTATCAAGTGGGTTTAAAACTCACGGTTTTAATGCATTATTCTAATTTAGGTAATTCAACCTCCATCCACAGGCATTCAAGTAGTTATATCACATAAGAAAATAGCCTCATGGTAATCATGTTGTCATGGCAACACTCACACGCATGCAAGGATGCTAAAGCGTAAAAGCTTATTGAGTACTCCAAGCCAAAACAAAAGCTATGTTAGAAATCCATGCATGATCCTAACTATACAGAAATGCCTAATGCAACACATGCAGGAATGCAAATACAATAGGCTCGGCTATTCTAAAATGACATGCGAAATGCTACAACCAACACGTATTCAATTTGGAATTGAAACACAAATGCAGTTAGTATGATGCGCCAAGCCCGATGCATGCAAAACAAATGTATGAATGCACGCATGCGTAACATAGGGTATGCTAATTTAAATATGTCCTAATACTAGCCATCGAAAGCTAGTAAATAAAAGGGAAGAAAGAAGTGGGGTTGGAAGACATACACATACTCACACACACTTATTACACAATTACCCTCGCTCGGAGGGTCCAAAAGAATAATACAGTCCGAATAATGAATCAACTATCCTAGCTAATTAATTATTACAAACCCTCTTAATTAATTAACAAATTAATCACAAAAATATTTTAAATATGAAGCTAAAGAGACTGCCGCAGCTCTGCCTCGGAATGCGCGAATGATGCATGCTTGACTCGTCTCGCCCGGAAACCCGTACCATGCCACTGTTGCCTCTGTTTACACTGCCCTGCTCCTCTGAAAATTTGCACAAGTCCTAAGGATACTTCTCTGAACACTGGGGAGCATCACCGACCAAGTGGGAACACCACCGGCCGAAGGGAGTGGTCATCGACCATTGGTTAAGCCACTGGCTAATTGTATTTGGTCGGTCGGCACTCCAAGTAGCCGGCCGGCTATTCCTTCTTGCAGAATCCGGCAGTTGACAGCAACAGAGGGCAAACAGTGTATAGCATGGAATTTTCAAGCAAATGTGAGCATGGCTACACTCCCCATCATGCAATGGACTCAAGGGAGCATGACCCTCGGCCCTCGGGCCATCAATTATGCATTTTGATGCATGATGGCCTAAAAGGCCAAGTTTGCCATTCAATGTAAAATGCATGCAACAAAAGAGATGAATGCCAACACCCTATCATATTGAGATCAAGGGCGTCGGGGACCGAGGATTGAGACGTGTTACGTCACTTGGAGTATGAACACTCTCAATCCTCATGCTTGGTTTGACACCCCAAACCATGCAATGCAATGCATTGCATGTATACAAACATGGCTCAAGAATGTAACATGAGGCTAACATGCAAAACATGCCAAATGCAATGCAATCTATTATGCAAGCATGCAATGTGCTAATCATGGAAGAGGCAATACAATGCAATTTAACATGTGATGCAAACATGGTACAATGCAAGCATGCAACGAGAGGCAACAAGTCAAACATACAACTATGTACAAGAATGGACTTAGACTGAAATGGGAGGCCTCAGCCACACCCTAAAACAGTGGCCAAAAGGGTCAAAAATGGCACAACTTATGCATGCAAGCATGCACACACCATGCAATGGTGGACCTAAGACACAAAGGGCAGACCTCAACCCACTCCCAAAACAGTGACAAGAGATGCCTAAAATGATGAACAAATACTCATGTAAGCATACACACCAATAGGCCTAAGATTAAGGCATAACCAAGGGGTATTCTACCACCACTACCCTAAGCCAACATGGCATGAGCTATACAACCAAAAACAGAGTTTAGATGCATTGAAATAAGTCCTAAAACCCTTTGATATGGCAGCCCCGAAGGCTTAAACACTTAGGCATGCACAATGCTCATTTTAAGGCACAACAAAACAACTCTTCAAGGCATGAAAGGGATGATAAATGCAATCATACGAGCATGGGTTATGGACTGAAATAGCATGGGAAATGACTTCAAATCACTGAAATAACCCAACTCAAGCATGCTCATGACTCACACCCTCAAGGCTCAGAAGCCAAAATGCAAAGAGGCTATACCAAACATGGCAAATATGATCAAAACAGCACCCAACAGGCCTCAAGCATGGTAAGATATGGCTAAGAACTTCACAAAGTTAGGCCAAAACATGAGAGCATAGTAGGTTAAATGCATGATGCACTTCTAGGCATAACGGGGAAATACAAAGCAAGTATATCATGCATGCAAGGGACCTTTAATCCGACCAAAAAAAGAGGCATAATATGACCCAATAACACCCAAAAACCTCTGGAATGAAGCCAAGAACAACTAATCATACATGCTACCCTTATGGGCCAAAAATGCAAACAAAAGAGAGACCAAGGGAGAGGGGTGTCCCTCCCCTATGCAATACTTCAAAACCCCTTCTTCAGCACTAAAAATCCACTGGATTTCAATGGTGAGAAGGCCAATACACAAAAGTCCCCGAAGCTTATCAAAGAGAGCACAAAAAGGGCCAAACAAGGCCTAAGAGGAGGAGATCGACCCCAAACAACAAAATGCCCTTAATGAAGTATCTTAAGCATGCAAATACAAGACTTTTTTCAGTTATACATGAAGCTCAAATCAATATGCAAAGCAGGTCAAAAGCTAGTGCAAGATTGGGGAATCTAAAGCAAAAGTGTTGTCCTTGAAGAACACCTCAAGAACAGCAAGTCTAGCCACCTTCTTCTGATCAAAACTAGCTCAAAACCTCAAGAATAAACCCTCAACACCTCCCAAAGTTGAAGTATGGTGTAATGGTGTGTGTTTTAGTGCAAAAGTAAGAACAAATCACCCTTTTAGGCCCTCAAACACACACAAATGAAGAGAGAGAGAGGGAGATATAGAGAGAGAAGATGTATATCAGATATATATATATATGTAATTTGCTCTGGTTTTTCTCAACCTCCATAAAGGAGGAGGATGGGGCTCTTATATAAACCAACAAAAGTGTAAGCTTCCAAGAGAAGCTAACAAAAGGGACCAAGGCTTCTTAAAGAAGCCAAGGCAAAGGGGCCAAGGCTTCCTGAGGAAGCTGGGACAGGGTTCATGCTTCTTGAGGAAGCTAAGACAAAGGTCCAAGCTTCCTCAAGAAGCTAGACCAAAAAGGTACAAAAGGGGCAAAACAGCCACACTCGTGCATGGGGAGGAGGGTCCGTGCATTCCAGCTGGCATAGCTGGCATGCATTATGCCTGTAAAAGGCAAAAAGGTGGTACCGGCCAGAAAAAGAGGCCATTGGCCAAACAGGTGGTCGGCCGGCCACACAAAATGTCGACCAGCCAATGGACTATTTCACCAATGGCTGGTAGCCTCAAAACACGGCCGGTGGCCTCAAGCTATGGTCGGTGGGTATCAGGGGTAGCTAGCAAGCTACTCCCTACCTTTAGGTGCAAAAAACAAACAAGTCCTTGGTATAAAACCAAGCACAGAACAAGTAAGTCGAGAGATCCTGAGGCAAGGCGCGTAGCCAAGACCTCCGGAAACTCAAAACAAACACGAACATGGATGATCACCGAGTGTTCAAGCTGTGACGTCCAAGTCTTGAGGACGGTCAAAAATGGGATGTCTACACCCCCTTACCCGCCAGACCGGTTATCTTGTAAGGTCCTTCCCAGTTTGCCCCTAGCTTGCCTTCCCCCGGCACTAGTGTGTTGCCCATCACCTTTCTTAAAACCCAATCCCCGACTTTGAACAGTCTGGGGTGCACCGATTTGTTGTATTTTTTGGAAAGCTCTTGTTGGTATACGGTCACATGGATTAGAGCCTTGTCTCGGTGTTCTTCCACTAGGTCCAATTCCAGGGCAATGGCTTCAGAGTTCAGCTCGGGTTCAAAACTTTCACTGCGGAGGGTGGGCATGCCAACTTCCAATGGGATGACCGCCTCCATGCCATATGCCAAGGCGAAATGAGTTTTCCCGGTAGATCGCCTCGGGGTCATCCGGTATGCCCAAAGGACACTTGGGAGTTCCTCGGCCCATTTTCCTTTAGCTTTCTCAAGTGTTTTTTTTCAACCCATCAAGAATGGTCTTGTTTGATGCTTCGGCTTGGCCGTTAGACTGCGGGTAAGCCGGGGTGGAGTTGTAAAATTCAATTTTTAATTCCTCACAAAATCCTCTAAATAAGCGCCCGTCAAATTGGGTGCCATTATAAAAAATCAGAATCTTGGGGAGGCCAAACCGCGTTACCATATTCTGCCAGACAAACCGTTTGACGTCTTTCTCCTTGATAGTTGCTAAGGGCTCAGCTTCAACCCATTTGGTGAAGTAGTCCGTAGTCGCGATGAAGAACTTTCAGTTGCCTGGTGCCATTGGGAGTGGTCCCACTATGTCCAGCCCCCACATCGCGAAAGGCCAAGGGCTTGTGAGGGGAAGAAGTTCTCTGGCCGGCTGGTGAATTTGGTGGGCGAACTTCTGGCACTTCTCACATTTGCGAACATATTTCTGAGCGTCCGCTTGCATGCACGGCCACCAATACCCTTGCG